AACCCAGTTGCCTTGCGTAGGACAGAAAATGTTATTGAAAATGCCTTTCTCAAAGTTGGAATAGATATTGAAGACCGAAACGTCACCACATTTTTGAGCCACCTGCTCACCCTTTATTTTGAAATGTTTTATCAAAACACATCAACAACCGTGAGACAGATTTACTGACAATTCGATGAGAGATTTGTGCGTAGACAATAACGTTTCTAGCTTTAATTCCAAAGACGAATTGTCACAATATTTTTAAATTATTCGCAATTTATTTTCAGAGGTGGATTCAGTTTACGCGCATAGGCATTAAATAACAAGCTATTTCAGCAACTTACAGAATCTGAAAAAGTTATCGATACAGCACAGGTAGTCAAAGTATTAGGCTTACGTTTGAATACAGATCCCGATACACAGAAGTATGCTGAAAATATTCTAGACAAGAAGCTATACCTGATCACGAAACGCGAAGTACTAAGAGAATCGTCCACGATCTATGAACAAATCGGGATCATAAGTCCAGTTACCGTACGAGGTAAAACTTTTCTGCAAACATTTTGGGGCGAAAATATGAAATTGGACAAAGCATTGCCTGAATATATAAGAACAGAATAGATTGACATCAGACGAGATATAAATGGAGCTACAAAGACCGTTGTACATCGTCATTACTTTAACAAATTGTTTGGATTCCAACAGAGACAATGTGATGCAGGTATATATGCATGCCAGTATGTAAGCTTACGGAGCTTGTGCATACATCGTGTCGGAAGGAAAAAAGTAAAATCTTAATGTCAAGAAGACGAGTTAAACCGTCAAAACAGATAACCATACCAAGACTAGAAATAATGGCTGCAGTAATCGGAAGTCGTCTTTTATCTCATAATTTAACTGATATTTATGTTAATCGTGTCGTATTATAGAGCGGTAGCCACATTGTGTTGAGCTGGTTGATTTCGAACAAAGACGTCAAAACAATTTGTCGCTTATAGAGTGAAAGAGATCAAAGAACTGACAGAAAAGTTAAATGGAAATACTGTCCAAGGGAATCTAATGCCGCCGATTTACTATCAAGAGTAATAATAACTCAAAAGTTAAGAATATTTAGAGACAACGTGTTATTGATGAACGCCTCACATTGGTTCACAAACAAGAAAAAAAATGGCCTGAATGGAAAATAGATGAATCGCAAATTATGTCTGCATTTTCTTAACAAGATGCTACGGTTGATATGATTTATATCTAATTGTAGATCAGGAGAAAAACGAACTGTAAATCTTAATACACAATAAATTCAGAATGCAACGTTAACTTTGAACAAGTAGTACAGCAAAGACACTATTTTGATGTAAAGCTAAGCTTACAAATAGGAGAGACCAAAACACACAACTAATTAGTTAAACACCTGAACCTTTATTTAGATAAGGACAACTTGATTCGTTGTGAAGTACGTATTCATTTGCACCATTGGATGATTCTACAAAAATTCATATATTGCTACCTGCAAAAGATATAATTAACTAAACTCATTATGATGGATGCCCACATTTCACATTTATACTCAGGACTGTAAAGTACCATCACACTACTTCGTCAGTCATATTGGATACCGACTATACGGCAAGTTGCAAACAGTATATTACGTAAATGTAAAAAAGTTAAAGGCCTATTGTATACAGCGCCAGATCCGCCACCCTTACCGAAAGACAGATTACGAGAAGCACCACCGTTCACAGTAACGGGATTTGGTTTTACGGGCGCTCTGACAGAAAAAAACAACGATGGAACTACTAGCAAAGCTTACATATGTTTATTTACATGTGCCAGGACTCGCGCTGTGCATTAAGAAGTGGTGGACAATTGAAGAGAAGAAACATTAATCTTAACATTTCGAAGATTCGTAAGTAGAAAATCAATACCGAAAACGATGATATCAGATAATGCTACTACATACATTGCAGCCGCTAAGTATATAGAGAGACTCACACGATCAACGTCACTTACAGAAACGGTGAACAACTATGGTACAACATATACATTTATACCAAAACGCGCACTGTGGTACGGTGGCATTAGGGAAAGATTGGTTGACATTACAAAAGACTGTGTCAAGAAAGTTTTGGGACGTTCCTTTATCAACATTGAAATTCTCAAGACAACTGTGACTGAAGTGGAAACTATTTTGAACGACCGCCCGCTAACTTACGTCTCGTCAGATCCTTTTGATGAACCGCTAACGCCATCACATTTACTTTACGGACGTAGGATCACAACACTATCATACCTTGATAATAGAGACTTTGAACATTCGACGTTTATGATAACTCATGAATCTGTGAATAAATTGTCTCGAATGAAATCTCAACTTTTTCAATAATTTTGGTACAAATGGAATCACGAGTATCTTACTTCTCTTCGATAGTATGAAGAATCACCGAAGACAATGTTGAACCAAGCAGCTAAAAGTATTGGCATGGAGAGTATAAAGAAATGGACAAACGAAAACAATTCATAATTCAGAGACTGTAAATTCAATTTTATTTACTTTTTCATAGACGTTAATTCATTTCAAAATCATTTAATAGACTTTACAGTTAATCAGTAATTTTTCAAGTCAATTGTTACATAACATTGTTGTACTGTTTTACTGTTTTTAATTTCATTCATTTGCGAGGCCCCATGAATTTTTGATCGAATCGATCAGACATCTTAGCAGCAAAACAAAAAGAATATTCGAATTTATTTATGTAAGATTTTTTTAATATGAATAAACAATGTTACAACTTTTTGAACTGTATGGATAGAAAGTCTCATATTACAAATCTGATAAATTAATATTGTAGTCGTGCAACTATCTTTGAAACTCCTTTTTGGACGTGACTTTTGAATCAACTTACATGTATTGCATTTACAGCTGTTTGTTTTAAGCAATAGTGCTCTCCTGCTGGTTTTTGTTCTTACATTATTTTTGGTATATCAATTTTCCCAAAATTGTGTCAGCATAACTGAGATTGATTTGTTAATTTAAAACACATGACTGGTGCACTTTAATCAAAGATTGGTACAAGTATTGCTTCATCCTATCCGCCTGGCAATAAATGTTGGTCTCAGGGTTCACAATCCGTCCTGTAGCAAGTTGTTTGGTATTTGCATAATCAATTTTAACAGTTTGTCCCTTTAATTTAGATGTAGCAACTTTTAGTTTTCATGTGTTTAATGTATTTATTTTGTCCCAGTACTTTTGCCTTGTTGGTTCTAGATGAAGATTTTAGTTCAAGTGCCTTGCAAAATGTAATCGGTATCTCACGTTTAAGATACTCGTTGTCTGCTAAATTACTTGAATAAATATAGGATGTAGGATATCAGATTCATCATTTTCTATTTGAAAATACTCAGTCAAGCTGATTAAAACTTCACATAACATTCTTCACTGAATTTTTAAATTTATGTTTTTTATTCGGACCGAAATGTTTTCTATCTGGATTTAAGAAATGATTATGTTTAGAATTTATATAAAGAATTCTTGAGAAGTTATCAAAATAACATAACTATTACTTCATAATGATTATCTTAAATATGACTTTAGTCTATTTGCAACTTTATTATTTGTTAACATAATTTACACTTTCTAAAAAAGAAAAAAAAAAACACATTTAAATGACAGATAAGTCAAATAATTTAAGGCTTTTAATGAAAAATAATTGAAGGAATCTAATTAATAATTTAGTTAGTACTTCGTACAGGATTTGAGCGCTTGGTGGTGAATAAGCAGTTTCTTTTTTAATGGTTGTTTTTCTTTTTACTTTTATAAATCAAATTTAGTGTCAGCTAGTTATTAATGTTGCATACTGTGTACCTTATGTAGATCCATTCTATTTGTTCTTTAATAACATGTTATCGCAAATGGATAATATCAAAATTATTAACAAAAATACCAGACTCCAAGGCAAATTCACAAAGGGAAGTTCATAAAAACACTTTATCAACCAAATGAACGGATAGAAAACAAATGTAAGGAACCTCTTCCGAAGACAATGTATGGTTAAACCTTGTTTTATAGCAAGCTGTCGCCCTTCGATGAGATGAGAATGAGAAAATGCATCTCGTTTAAAAACAAAATCTATAACTATTATAGTTACAAACAGAAAAGTTAAAATCACTTAAAGAAGATGAATCAGATAAAGCAGTAGTGATTCTGATAACAGTAGTGAACAGGTCAGTTATTGTTTAGAAGATTCATGTTTTTGATTAAACTTAATTTGTAAAATCTTTTTGAAATTTAGTAGAATAATCAAATCAAAGCTAATGTGTGGAAATTAACAATTCGTGCACTCAATAAGATGATGGTATGGATAACATTTACCTATTGTCACTACCCTCATCTCAGTCCATAATTATTTGAATGATTGATTGATTGTCGATGATAGTACGTTCAGCTTAGTCATGGTTGCTAGGTTCAATTGTTGCACGAGGCCAGTGTACAAAGAAAGAGAACCATTAACGTAAAGCAGAAAAACTGACAAATCTAGTCAATTAAGATCGGATTCAAATGCACCTTGCCACTTGCGCATTGTGAGTTTGAATGTCTCTTTGGTAAAATTCTCTTCTCTTTTGCAAGTTTCGAACTGACAACCTCAGTGTTTAAATGGTAGTTATTTTGGAATTTATTGCGTTTATTTATTTATTTATCGCCGATAAATTTTAAGACAAAAAAAAAAGGTTGCGTGTCAACTTTTTCGCACAGTGATACCACCCATTCTTGAGGTTAGACTAATCGGTGACCATTTTTCTGACTTATCGACATTCAAACTGTTTAGCTTATTCATTTGCAGCAGAAAGTTTATATATCAGTCTGTTATAAAGAATACTGAGGTTACAGGTTACAGGATATTTGATATTTAATGTGTAACTATAAGAAAAATGTTCATGAATTATATTATTATGCTTAATTATTTGAAACAGAACATGAAATAACCAGTTTGTTAAATGGTGTTGATGTTTTATCTGAATAGATACACGACGCATATAAAGAATTTCATTCAGGAAATGAAGAAAAGGCGACAAAAGCAGTAACTGAATATAGTTGTGATTTAGCAAACAGTTCTGAACAGGTGAATTTTTGTTTAGAACATTAACGCATTTGATAATTTATTTTTATCAAAGGAACAGTATCAATTGATTGTTAATGGAGCCAATAAGAATCACTCATGACGCAAATGTAGTGTCACCACCTTATCTAATCCCTGATTATTTGATGTTTAATTTCAATTAGAAATTGTTAGGGTAACTGCCTGGTTGTTCACGCGTTGAAACATACTCAGTAATTCTATAATAATTTGCGTGCCTAGGTAGTTATACATCAATGGCGTCCATTTTTTGTGTATACACAAAATATAAGCGTTCTTGATGACGACGAATCCAGAAAAGCAATAACCGAAACAAAAGTATCACGTGGTATTTTCATATCAGTCTACATACACGACCAAAAATTAATTATTAATAAAACATTTTTCAGAAAAAACTTCTTAGATGAGTAACATGTTATCGCAAATGGATAATATTAAAAAGTATCCACAAAAGCAACCAGACTCCAAGGTAAATTCACAAAGGGGAAGTTCATAAAAAAGACGAAGGCAATCGTCAGACGTTATCAACAAACGGAACGGAAAGAAAACAAATGTCATGAACCTCTTTCAAAAACAACGTTGGGTTTAACCTTGGTTTGAAGCTAGAAAAATCACTTAAATGACAGTTGTTCAAAGTTTCGGTGTATTGACAAAATAAGGTATGCAACCAAAAAGGACATACTAGGTTTTTATGATAATAATTGTGATCCAAATGTATAAAGTGTGCTATGTTTCATTGTTATAGTTACAAACAGAAAAGTTAAGATCACTAAAAGAAGATGAATCAGATAAAGCAGTAGCAGGATCTAATTGTGATTCAGATAGCAGTAGTGAACAGGTCAGTTATTGTTTAGAAGATTCATGTTTTTAATCAAACTTCATTTACAAAACCTTTATGAAATTTAGTAGAATAATTAGATCAAATCTAATGTGTGGAAATTAACTATTCATGCTCTAAAAAAGATGATGGTATGGATGACACTGAGCTACTGTCACTTCCCACATCTCAGTCCATTAATATTTGATTGATTGATTGATTGATCGTTGATATTAACGCAATTTTCAGCACTGTTTGGTATATCGTATCGGTTAGTGTATAATTTTGAAAGAAGCCTTAGGAAAACAACCCAACTATGATAGGAAAACTTAGAATCCTAGACAACTTAGATTGGAATCGGATGTACCTCCCACGTTCGGGTTCGAATTCACAACCTCAGTATTCACATGCTATTGATAAGTAGATGAACTACTTAGACCATTCGGTCAACGAGCCCCTCAATGTAATGGGATGTTTAAAGTCTAACTATAATAACATTTGGAAATTTTTAGCGTAGAACAACTTGTTTAGCTTTTTTTATAGAAAGTATGATAATAAGTGTTTTAAATGGTGTTTATGTTTCATTTAATAGTTACCAGCAGATAAAAAAATAAATTCAGACAAAGAAGAAAACGTAACCAAAGCAGTTACAGAACTAAGTTGTGATTCAGAAAGCAAAAGTAAACAGGTAAACTATATTGAGAAAAAAACCATTCACATCTTTAATAATGTTTATTTTATAAAATTTACAAATTCAAATCAATATTTTACGGACACACTAAGAGGCATGCCTGACATTAAGGTACTGGCGCCACCCTTACGAATTTCCTGATTATTTGATGTTTAATTTCAACTAAAATATCATGGTAGCTTAAGAAGTCTTGCCCGGGTTTAAAGCCTTATAAAAAATTCATTTAGTACCTGTTGATGAACTCGTTGCAATAGTCCCATTTATTCTTAAAGATACGTTTTTTATATAGCTCTCCAGGTGTGTAGGCAGTTATAGACCATTAGGTTTTATTTTTTGGGGTAAGAGCGTTCCTGATGAACGTGAATTTGGAAAGCAACCTTCGGACAAAGCAAAGGTATCAAGTGGATTTTAGAGATACAGTTATCTCTATTCTAATGCAAAATAAACAAATCATTCAATCTTAGCCATTATTTCAGTGTAAAAGTTTTATTAAACGAAAATTCCGCGATATGATGTTCTCTTCTTTGCGCATAAACTAAGTGACGGCATATGTATGTTTCCAGCATCGAACGTAAACACCAGGCGTTTTCTGGCTTCTTGTCCGCTTTAGAATGTACTAAAAGTTGATAAAAAGAAGATTTCTAGGTGCAAAATCTGAGTTTTTTTGCTTATTATTGTAGAATTATATGTTAATACATTCCGGAATTCAAAATGTCCGCTTCATTAGATACAGACAGGGATATAGATAATGTTACGCTTATTGTCATCCAATTTAGAACCATTGGTACAAAATATTTGTATTAGAATTTCTTTTCATTTGACACACATCATGTACATGGATACGGTCAAACGTTATATATATGTTGATGAAACATTGTTTGAATGTTTTTGCTATAAACGTATGTTTCGACAAAAGAAAGACATCAAGGGACAGTTTGGTCTAATTTTATCACCTGGCGTCAATCAGTCATATTCTATTATCAGTTATCTTGCCATAGTTCCATCGTAAGCTTAATTAAAATCTGTATTGCAAAAGTCACGTATATGAAAAAGAGACAGAAAGATACCAAAGTGGAGACCGTAAAGTCATAAAAGTCATAATATAGAGAAAAAAGTAATTTAACGAAAATACCGAATTCAAGGAAAATTCAAATCGGAATCAAATGGCAAAATCAAAAGCTCAAATACATCAAACGAATGAAAAACAACTGTCATTTTCCTGACTTGGTACAGGCATTTCCTTATGTAAAAAATAGTGGATTAAACCTGGTTTTATAGGTAATTAAACCTAGTCTCATTTGGAATTTTAAAAGTTTTAAAACATTAATAAATTTGATTGATTTTAAAATCATCATCGTGGCAATTATTTTGACTGATCAATTGTCCAGTATATTGATTGTTATTTTTTACCTAGAAATGTTAAATTAATTAACACAAAAACAACATGCCTATCAGCTCAGAGCAAGATATTGAGTGAACATAATTAACATACATGTATTTTAAGATTTAAGCCGATTGAAACTGTCATATTTACGACTTGGTACAGGCATTTCCTTATGTAGAAGTCTGGGTAGCAGCTGTAAGCTCTTGAATACCGAATGAATTGGGAAATGTATATCCCATATGATATGGAGTAAGTTGGTATATTGCTACTATGAAATACCATTTTCAATCGAATCATCCAGAAATCAAAGAAGCAAGAAGCACAACATCATTCCAATCGGTCAACTAATTTGAATCAGCAAAGTTTTCGATATGTTATTTTATATTACAAATTTGTGTTACTATAAGTGGTGTTGCCATGAAACTACTTTTAACATTAACCTGTGGACGTGACTTTGCAATCGGCCTATCTGTGTTCAATCAACAGCTGTTTGGGCTACCAGATTAGCGAACCAGAGGTCCTTCTGTTTTGGGTTCTTGCAATTATATGTTTGTCGTTTCAATTTCCTAGGTTATTTGAGCTTTATTTATCAAATGATACCTTAGCATCTGCAAACTTACTTTTATATTTGGACTTATTACAAAGATTGGGAGGTAAATTCTTCCAAAACTTGTGCAATTATTTCACACGTTGGTACAACTACTGCTAGATCCTATCCACCTCGGAATATCTGTTGGTCTCAGGGTTCAGCATCCACTCAGTAGCAAGTTGTTTGATATTCATAGATACATTTTGTCCTTAATTTTCAGGGAAAGGTTTAAATTTATTTGATGTTTTTAATTTTGTTTTTGCCTATTTGCTTTGTGTGTTCAAGCTCAATTGCCTTGCAAAATGAAATCGGGATCGCATGTTTGAATTACTCGTTTTGTGCTACAGGACTTGCATAAATGACGCATTTTATGCCACATAGGTTGTATGATATCAGATTCACCATTTCCTTAACAAAAACCATAATGTAGCTTCACATCAAAAACTTCACTTAATTTATCAATTTTAATACTTTTCTTTCTTATCTGAAGTTCACGGTGTTTCTTTTTGTTGATATATGCATATACATGTTTTAGAGCTATTATGAAGGTACTTGTGATGTTGCAATATTGGTATTTTTGGTTTAAATTTTTAACAGTTACCTGGCTCACTTACAGGCTCTATATCACATATTTATTCCATCTGATTATTTGTTTTAACTAGAATGATATATATTGTCTTGAGTTGTTTATGCTAGATATGATGTCTAATAACAAAGTTATTTTACTCTGTGGGATTATTATTTGGTTAGAGATGCACCAATTGCAGCGTACAATATTGACATTCTTCCCCTGGGATATCTTCAAAACCGAAGAAAAACTTCTGTTCTGGCATAAAATGCGTATGTTGTTTTTATTGTCATTTGCTGTTATAAAATTTGGGACTTATCTCCTACGTGCATAGCAATGAATTTTTGTCCAGGTTTGTCTATTACTGTTTTTCCTATTTGGTTTTATCAGCTCCTCATTGTTTGTTTTGGGTTTAGGATGGGTATATAATGATTTCAAACTCGAACATCACTGAAATAACATTACATGTGTACTTGTCGAAATGCGCACCTGGTGCAGTAAAATTGGTACCGTTCATATTTTTCAAGGAAAACGTTTTACAAAGAGTGATGATTAAATTTAAGTTAATTTTAATAACTATATGCCAACACAAATGCATATATTTGACTGGCATTGATTTGCTGACAATGCAATTAAGTCGAATTGAAATGTGTGTTTTGTAATTTGTTTAAAACAGTGTTATTACCCTTGTGGCTGATCAAGATAATATATTGATTACTTCAATGTTGTGACTCATTTCGCATTCGATAAGATTGTTTGAAACAATTAGAATATGGCTGTTTATTCATGCTTAAATAAGAATCACTGATCATTTTTGCCAAAAATGGAGAATGTGTCTCCGTGCTTGTAGTGTATACCCTTAGATGTTTTGCTTGTGAGAGAACTGTCCGCTGTTTGTTTTCAAATTCATTTCGCTACAGATTAATTGCATCCTTGGCTTTTATTGAATTCCCTTCCATCAGGAAGTTTCAAAACTAAATATTTGAACGCTTGGGATGTTCAAATACTTTAAAAAACAACGTAATGAGCTATGTAATGGAATGTCCCTTAAGTATAACCGACGATTGGGCTCAAGCAAAAAGACTATCAGGTGCTGATTTTTTAAACAATGAACCAATCTTACAAATCGTTAAAAGCTGAAAATACAAAATGAAATACAATTTTACAATGTGTTGAATTAATGTTATAATAGTCCAGCGGATTCTTGCATATTTTATTTAGAAGAATTGTGGGTTTGGTGATAAACGCATGAAACTTTGCACAATTCTTAATATATATCTGGTAGTCAATTTAAGCTATGAACCCACTCTGACAATTCCAATATGGCGATCATTTTCAGGATGTCTGCCAGTCAGTCT